AATTAACCGTATTCCTCCAAACTTTAATTCCTAAAGGTTTGCTTTTTATGTTTTGATGTTGAATTCACTTTTTTAATGACAATTTTGGGTGTACTGTTTTTTTTATGTTGGGGGTGCAGCTTATAGTCCGGTGCAGTTTATATGCTAATGTTCGCGGTTTTTTTTTTTTTTTTAATGGCAGGTGCGGCTTATAGTCCGGTGCGGCTTATGGTCCGAAAAATACGGTATTTATGTTCAATAAATCATCTTTTTACCCTAAAGAAACAACATTCTGATCCTGTAAAAGTTCTGTAGCCCTGCTGATCCCATGTAAAATCCTCCCACACTGAGAACCAGTTTCTTTCCTGCAGCACATATCATCACTACAGAGCATCTGATTTATATCTATAGTTCTGAATAAGATATATCAGCATGTTCAATCTGGAAAAATTTACCTTTTCATTGCAGAAGTTGACTGTTGATTGAAGGACAAACAGCTGAGGTCAGGTTCAGGATCATCTGCTCTGTGCCAATGGATCCTGATGAAAACAAGTTCAGATTTTTACTTTAAATTTCACAGTTTAAAGATTAGGACTTCATGTTAAACTAGTTAACTTACACAGTTTTAAGGCTCTGTTTGTTGACGTTTACAAGCAGGTGATCCTTTGACCAGTCTCTCCTAAAGGACACACAGCTGGGTTCTGGTCCAGGTCTACTCCTGTAAATAAAGTCCAGTGTGTGTTTATTTTATTTACCGTTGTTTACCCGGGTAAGTCCTGTTGAGATTGCAGATCTCTTTGTCAAGGGAGGTCTGAAGGCAAATTATTGTACGTTTTTAGAAAGTGAAGGAAACCAGAGCACCCGGAGAAAACCCACGCAAGCACGAGGAGAACATGCAAACTCCACACCCCAGGCCTGAACCAGGGATCGAACCCAGGACCTTCTTGCTGTGAAGCTGGTCACACACCAGATGTGTTTTGAGCAGCCAGTTTACCAGCAAAGTCTATGGTGGGCGCATGACTAGGGGCAGTGTTGCGCATTTAGTGCGGCATGAATCGGTATGTGCGGTTTGAGCGTTTTCCATGCATGCGGTGAGTCCAAAGCAGCTGAAGCTCGAGTTAAAAAAATTAGCTTTTGCTGCTCAACGCACCACATCAACCAATCAGAGAGACTCATTTTTCCACGTGACAGTTTCCTGAATGTTGCCCACTAACCTGAAACAGACGGACAGGAGCTCTTTAGCTGAAATCGACCGTCTGCAGTTGATGTTCTGGCAGGAGATGTCAGCACCAATGTGGATCAGCAGCTCGTTAAACTGACCACAGTGTTAAACTGAGCTCAGGACAAAAAAATTGTTTGTCAGATCGCAGCTCCTGGAGTGGTGAAACTAACTGAACAGACCACCTCTAAATTATCTGGTGAATTAATTATCTGCTGTGCGCAACGTTTGCTTGCTCTTAGTAAATAAAGCAAAGACATTTTCTTTATTTTATCTTTATTTCATCTGCCATTAAAGACAAACCGGAAAAAAACCAGGACACCCCTCCCTAGGGATGAAAACCTTTGACATTTGAATCGATTCGGCACCAATATCCGGTACCTGGGAATTGGTACCGGTACCAATTTTCGGTATTTTGTGTGTGTTGTTTTTTAATAATAAACTTGTTTTTTTACATATTTCCCAATATATAAATTTAACAAATATCAAGACAACATCCAACTCTTTGTATTGTAACATCA